GGGCTGGCCTACCCGGCCGCCGTCAGGCGCCCCGCCGCTGCCGCTCTCACGCCCTGCTCCCTCTCTGCCCTGTCCCAGCCAGGCCCTGCGGGGGCCTGCGGGGCCCCGGGGGAGCCCAGCGATGACCCGGCCCACGCAGCTCGTGCCGAGGGCGTCGGAGGTGTTCGCGTTGGAGCAGCAGGGCTACTACATCGGCAAGAAGATCGGCGAGGGCTCCTACGCCAGCGTGCACACGGCCAACTACGTGCACCGGAACAAGACGAAGGTCAAGCGCATCGCCTGCAAAATCCTCGACAAGGAGCGCGCCTCCAGGGACTTCCTGGAGCACTTCTTCCCCCGCGAACTCGACGTCCTGACCAAAGTGGAGAGCCCGTACATCATCCAAGTGTACAGCATCTACGAGCGCGGGCCGCGGGTGTTCATCTTCATGAGCCTGGCCGAGAACGGCGACCTCCTGGACTACGTCAAGAGCAACGGCGAGGTGGCCGAGTCCCGTGCCAAGGTATGGTTTCACCAGATCTGCCGCGGCACGGAGTACCTTCACACCAAGGACATCGCGCATCGCGACCTCAAGTGCGAGAACGTGCTCCTGTCGAGAAACTTCAATTGCAAACTCACCGACTTCGGCTTCGCTCGCTACTGCAGCGACCTCACCCCGACCGGGCTGTGTGAGACGTTCTGCGGCTCGGCGGCGTACGCGGCGCCCGAGGTCGTGGGGGGCACGCCCTACAACCCCAAGCTGGCCGACGTCTGGTCCCTCGGCGTGATCCTGTACGCCATGCTGAACGCCACCATGCCCTTTAACGACTCGAATCGACGCAAGCTCCTCAGCGACCAGATGGCGGGCAACTGGCAGTTTAGCTCGCGCGTCGAGTACTCAGTGTCGGCCATCGCCAAGTCATTGGTGGCGCGCATCCTGGAGCCCAGCGTGGCGAACCGCATCTCGCTCAAGGACATCCTCGACCACGACTGGCTGCGCTCGTGCAAAGAACACCATCCTCCCCCGAACGTCGCGGCAGCCGAAGGCGTGGACAGCAAACACAGAGTCGCCTCGCCCAAGACCCTGTCCGAGGACAAGCCCTCGTCATCGGCTACTGGCTCCATGGTCACCCCGACGCCTACGGCTCAGACTGGACATCTTTTGCAACGTACTGATGGCACATCAGTCAGCGGTGCGGGCATGAGCACTTCTAAGGCCTTCAGCACCTTCGGTAAGCCCCAACAGGGTACTCCGGGAGGGATCTTCAGCCAACCCGAGGCTTTAGTCCCGGCACCCACTCCGGCCCTAGTCGCCAAGTGTCAGGTGAGGAGAGTAGAGGACCAGTAACTGCAGGGTCGTCCTGGAAGCATATCATGGGAGCAATGCATCTTTAGGCACAGTTGAAAACACATTAAAAATGAAATAAGAAAAAAAAGGTAAATATTTGTTTGTTTATTACTGACTTTGGTTGGTTACACCCATCATACTTGATAGACACATACAATCACAATTAAAACACACGCAAACAAAAATTTGTGGTAACTTCAAAACTTATACAAATAATACATACACACAAGCCTTGATTTTAGCTAATAAGATAAAAAGGAAAAGATTCCATATTAAAGAGATTTGAAAATAAATGCGGACAAAAAATAATTGAGCACATCATACAGATCCAAATAAATCATAGCTTCTTTCACCGTTCTGATATGGTAACTGTTACCAGGTAACATTTTCATGTATTTAAAACACTCAAAATGTAAGGTATTTAAAATACATACAGATCTGGGGTGATTGTTCTGTATCACAAAATCTTTGGGAAATACCTATGAAGGGTACTGAAAATGTCAGCTAACGAGTATGCTAATAACAAAAAGGGGGAAGGGTAAAGATGTAACACAATCTTGAAGATGTATGAATAACTTTTCATGGCCAAATTAAGTTCATGAAAAATAAAATATTTAAGCTGGTAACTTAACCAAGGGAAACATCTGGAGGGTCCCCTGTCTGGAGGGTCCCCCCTGAATAATTT